GGAGAGTCAATGAGGTGACGTACAGATTTACAGCTCCCCGTCAATTACCGTATCTCACCTTCATTTCATGTATCTCTCCTCAGGCCGGTGGCAGCTGGTCCCTTGGCTAGTGCTGGACCCCACGACGCACCTCCCCCTCCCTTGGACGTCGAGGGGGCCCCGGCGTACTCCGTCCACAGCCTGTTGGACTCACGGCGTTGTGGAGGGCTTCTCCAGTACATGGTCGACTGGGAGGGGTATGGTCCCGAAAAGCGGTGCTGGGTTCCGGCCCGGGAAAAAACGCACCGAATGCAAACCAGGGGAAAAAACGCACTACCCTCTACAAAGCAAAATACAAAGTTTGACAACCCTCCCATATTTTATGCATTATGGAAAAGTTTTAAATGCTTATGAATTGTAATTCATATTTATACATGGCATGCTTTCATAAATAGTTTATTAATAGGCTAATGGCTATTCATCAAAGTTATGTGTTACCGACAATGATATTGAAAATGATCTGTCCCTCAGCTCTGCCACGTTGCCTGTGACGTTCTGATGTTGTGAGTGGTTCAATATGATGGACAGGAGGACCACCCGCTTCATGCTACCCATGGGCGCCACCATCATCATAGAAGGCACGGCCCTGAATGAAGACGTGGACGCAATTTTCATTGCCCAGCTCAATGACATCCATCTTGACCTGGACCAGTTAGTCACCATCGGATAAGAATTAATGGACTTTTAAATAATTTCATAAAAATTGTATCATATGTATGTGAGAAAACAAGTGTTCTTGCTCCTGAGGCATTAGATCTTAAAATTGTCTGTATTTGTGATGTGTTGAATTGCCCCTCAGGGATATACAGTGAGGGAAAAAAGTATTTGATCCCCTGCTTATTTTGTACGTTTGCCCACTGACAAAGAAATGATCAGTCTATAATTTTAATGGTAGGTTTATTTGAACAGTGAGAGACAGAATAACAACAAAAAAATCCAGAGAAACGCATGTCAAAAATATTATAAATTGATTTGCATTTTAATGAGGGAAATAAGTATTTGACCCCCTCTCAATCAGAAAGATTTCTGGCTCCCAGGTGTCTTTTATACAGGTAACAAGCTGAGATTTGGAGCACACTCTTAAAGGGAGTGCTCCTAATCTCAGCTTGTTACCTGTATAAAAGACACCTGTCCACAGCAGCAATCAATCAATCAGATTCCAAACTCTCCACCATGGTCAAGACCAAAGAGCTCTCCAAGGATGTCAGGGACAAGATTGTAGAACTACACAAGGCTGGAATGGGCTACAAGACCATCGCCAAGCAACTTGGTGAGAAGGTGACAACAGTTGGTGCGATTATTCGCAAATGGAAGAAACACAAAATAACTTTCAATCTCCCTCGGCTTGGGGCTCCATGCAAGATCTCACCTCGTGGAGTTGCAATGATCATGAGAACGGTGAGGAATCAGCCCAGAACGACACGGGAGGATCTTGTCAATGATCTCAAGGCAGCTGGGACCATAGTCACCAAGAAAACAATTGGTAACACACTACACCGTGAAGGACTGAAATCCTGCAGTGCCCGCAAGGTCCCCCTGCTCAAGAAAGCACATATACAGGCCCGTCTGAAGTTTGCCAATGAACATCTGAATGATTCAGAGGAGAACTGGGTGAAAGTGTTGTGGTCAGATGAGACCAAAATCGAGCTCTTTGGCATCAACTCAGGGGACAGGACAACTTCACCGCATCAAAGGGACGATGGACGGGGCCATGTACCGTCAAATCTTGGGTGAGAACCTCCTTCACTCAGCCAGGGCATTGAAAATGGGTTGTGGATGGGTATTCCAGCATGACAATGACCCAAAACACATGGCCAAGGCAACAAAGGAGTGGCTCAAGAAGAAGCACATTAAGGTCCTGGAGTGGCCTAGCCAGTCTCCAGACCTTAATCCCATAGAAAATCTGTAGAGGGAGCTGAAGGTTCGAGTTGCCAAACGTCAGGCTTGAAACCTTAATGACTTGGAGAAGATCTGCAAAGAGGAGTGGGACAAAATTCCTCCTGAGATGTGTCAAATATACTGCTCAAAAAAGGGAACACTTAAACAACACAATGTAACTCCAAGTCAATCACACTTCTGTGAAATCAAACTGTCCACTTAGGAAGCAACACTGATTGACAATACATTTCACATGCTGTTGTGCAAATGGAATAGACAACAGGTGGAAATTATAGGCAATTAGCAAGACACCCCCCAATAAAGGACTGGTTTTGCAGGTGGTGACCACAGACCACTTCTCAGTTCCTATGCTTCCTGGCTGATGTTTTGGTCACTTTTGAATGCTGGCGGTGCTTTCACTCTAGTGGTAGCATGAGACGGAGTCTACAACCCACACAAGTGGCTCAGGTAGTGCAGCTCATCCAGGATGGCACATCAATGCGAGCTGTGGCAAGAAGGTTTGCTGTGTCTGTCAGCGTAGTGTCCAGAGCATGGAGGCGCTACCAGGAGACAGGCCAGTACATCAGGAGACGTGGAGGAGGCCGTAGGAGGGCAACAACCCAGCAGCAGGACTGCTACCTCTGCCTTTGTGCAAGGAGGAACAGGAGGAGCACTGGCAGAGGTTCTGCCTTTGACCGTCTGTGTGTTCACTGTAGCGTCACAACTGCAGCACCCAGTATCGGAGCAGCAGGGATCCCCGCTGCAGGTGCTGTGACTACCCAGCTGGTGCTGGCTGCAGTGGACCCACCACTTCGTTACGCCACCGTCCTGATCGATGTGGAGTGTCTCCTGTGAGTCTCAATCTCTTTCGCACTTGGTTGCATGAATAGGATGGTCTTACATTTGACATTTTTGTCATTTGGCAGACACTGTTATCCAGAGCGACTTAGTCAGTGCATTCATCTAAGGTATATAAAACAACCACATATCAAGTAAAAACTTTCCTCAGTAAAGCAGCTATCAGCAAAATCCGCCATAAATTTAAGGGGTTGGGTTACACTTTGAGATTGTGCCCTTTTATCAAATGGTGCACTTCGACAGTTGTTTCTTTACCAGCTTGTCCCGCTAGTCTGATTTCAAGGGCTTGTGTCGTCATCCACTCTGTCATCCAATATCCATGCTGTTTTCCAATATCCATGCTGTTATCCAATATCCACTCTGTTATCCAATATCCAATCTGTTATCCAATATCCATGCTGTTATCCAAAGCGTCAACTAAATACGGTGTGAATTTGAAGCTCTCCGCCCAGTTCCGCAATCCTATCTATCACAAGCCTTTTTGTTATGGTGTTTTCCCCTTAAAATGTCTCTACGTTAACCCCGTTTTACAATTGTCCTGCTTTCTATTGTATTTTTGCCTCTTGCAGAGATCATTGCGACACGTGCATGGAGGTCATGGGAGTGGGGATAGTATAGAAGTACAGAAGCTGTCTAAGAAGGAACTGCAGAGGATGTATCAGTTGGTGGCGGGGGAGGAATTGGAGATGATGCGACCACCAGAGCCAGAGCCCTCAAGATGATGTTGTTCAATAGGCATGGGTTCATTAATCACCAAACAGAAGAAAACAGACTGAAACATGGATCGACTACCCGGACATAAGAAATACACATTTTCGTTTTCTGTTCCATTGCGTGCCCTATTGAATACAAGCCTGGGGTGACATTTTCTGTCCTTTGCGTCCAAAGTTGTTGCCGTAAGAAAGTATCTGAGAACTAGAGATCCTAATTTTGCATATTGGACTGTAATATCTCTGAGTTGACCCCTAACATCATTTCTGAGGTGATGCATAACAAGTTAGAAATGATTTTGCCACTTATAGGATAACGTATCAGTCAGAATAATTCCATTTCAATAATTTAGTAATCAAGTCCAATTATTAATTTTAATATGTATATTTTTATTGTCACAGTGAAATGTCTTGTTTTACAGGGTCAGCCATAGTAGTATGGCGCACCTGGAGCAAACTAGGATAAGTGCCTTGCTCAAGGGAACATCAACAGATGTTTCACTTAGTCGGCTCGGGATTCGAACCAGCAACCTTTCAGTTAATGGCCCAACGCTCTTAGCCCCTAGGCTACCTTCCGCCCAAGACGAGACCCTGGAGGTTATCATGCTCCAGAGGATGTCCCTGACGGACACCGCAGCGGGGGAGCAGAGCCCCGCAAACAGCCCCTCCACAGTCCAGACCCATGGAAGCCCATCCACTGTCCAGACCACCACTGATAGTCATTCCCTCCGCTGTCCTGACCATCAGTAACCCCACTGAAGTGAAGATCACAGGCAGCCAGTCGCCTAACGCCTCCTCAGAAAGTCACTCCTCTGAAGGCATCGGAGGCAGCGGATCCTCCCGTAGTACCACGGGGAGCGTATTCAGTCGAAAAGGGCATTCTCCACAACAGCCCCACAGTGGACAGACTAGCACCCAGGTTTACATGGGGTGATATGGGGAGGATATTCATATATGCATGATATGTTTTTTAAATCAGTTTTGTTGATAGATTCTATAAAATAGATTTTATATAGTTATTCCAGAATGATTAAATGTAATATATATTGAACATCTAAGAATTCTGTATAAAATCCACTATTAACTGTAATTTTAATTTAATACCATTCTAATTGAACGTTGAGAACATTATAACCAATCTCTAAACATTCTGCTGTCCTTATCATTTCATAACATTCTTTAGTATATATCTACTTGTGAGATACAGAATGTTTATTTTTATCCTAAAAGAATGAACTTAGTAATTGTAAAGAACTGTGAATTCGTAATTTATTTTCAGCTACGGGTCTTGTGTTATATATTCTTGTAGAATGCATTTTGGTGTTAGATGGTGTAAAGCTTAGGTGTCTAAGGCACAGTAGGTGGCAGTGTATTCTGGGAATGGAGCCTTCGTGTGTCTGTGAGGGAGGGACAGGATGTGTGTGTGGGATGGTGGTAGGTTGGAGGTAACCCTACGGATAAAAACCTGGTGATGTATCTCCCTCTATCTCATTCTCTGTCACACACACTTTCTGCCTCACACACACACAGAGACACACACAGGAGGCGGTTCTCTCCCTCTCCATCAGAAACAACTGACAGCCAGCCAGGAGAACTGCATCCTCTGGTTTGGTAGTTATAGCCGCAGCGTATACAGCTACTAGCCTCCTCTACTGCCTGCTTACATCTGTCAGCTGGCCGCCCGATACGTGGATCCTTTTGTGTCCGACTCCCATTGTGCCATCTATTGTGGGGGCTAAAGGAAACTGCCACCAGTTGACATGACGAAAGAACACAGGGGCTGGGACCTCAAAGGCTTGCTGAAGAGGAACTGGCTGCTGATTGCGACCATTGTGTCGGTGCTGTTAGGTAAGTGAAAGTGAAGCCCCCCTAACCCTATTGTCTGCGCTCTGCTTAGCGTGAAGAAGCCCTGCTTGATGCCTGTCTGTCTCCCCCCTCTCTCTCTCCTTGCTCTGTAGGTGGAGGTGCAATCCCTCCCCCCCCCCCCTCTCTCTCTCTCTCTCTCTCTCTCTCTCTCTCTCTCTCCTCTCTCTCTCTCTCTCTCGCTCTCTCTCTCTCTCTCTCTCTCTCTCTCTCTCTCTCTCTCTCTCTCTCTCTCTCTCTCTCTCTCTCTCTCTCTCTCTCTCTCTCTCTCTCTCTCTCAATTCAATTCAATTTAAGGGCTTTATTGGCATGGGAAACGTGTGTTAACATTGCCAAAGCAAGGGAAGTAGATAGTAAACAAAAGTGAAATAAACAATAAATATTAACAGTAAACATTACACTCAGAAGTTTCAAAAGAATAAAGACATTTCAAATGTCATATTATGTATATATACAGTGTTGTAACAATGTGCAAATAGTTAAAGTACAAATGGGAAAATAAATAAACATAAATATGGGTTGTATTTACAATGGTGTTTGTTCTTCGCTGGTTGCCCTTTTCTTGTGGCAACAGGTCACAAATCTTGCAGCTGTGATGGCACACTGTGGTTTTTCACCCAGTAGATAAGGGAGTTTATCAAAATTGGGTTTGTTTTCGAATTCTTTGTGGATCGCTGTAATCTGAGGGAAATATGTGTCTCTAATATGGTCATACATTTGGCAGGAGGTTAGGAAGTGCAGCTCAGTTTCCACCTCATTTTGTGGGCAGTGTGCACATAGCCTGTCTTCTCTTGAGAGCCAGGTCTGCCTACGGCGGCCTTTCTCAATAGCAAGGCTATGGTCACTGAGTCTGTACATAGTCAAAGCTTTCCTTAAGTTTGGGTCAGTCACAGTGGTCAGGTATTCTGCCACTGTGTACTCTCTGTTTAGGGCCAAATAGCATTCTAGTTTGCTCTGTTTTTTTGTTTGTTCTTTCCAATGTGTCAAGTAATTCTCTTTTTGTTTTCTCATGATTTGGTTGGGTCTAATTGTGTTGTTGTTGTGTTGTTGTTGTTGTTGTTGTTGTCCTGGGGCTGTGTGGGGTCTGTTTGTGTTTGTGAACAGAGGCCCAGGACAAGCTTACTTAGGGGACTCTTCTCTTCTCTCTCTCTCTCTCTCTCTCTCTCTCTCTCTCTCTCTCTCTCTCTCTCTCTCTCTCTCTCTCTCTCTCTCTCTCTCTCTCTCTCTCTCTCTCTCTCTCTCTCTCTCTCTCTCTCTCTCTCTCTTCCTTTTCGTCTGTCTGTTATTCTCCTATTTTGACACAGTTTTCATTGCTTTCTCTCCTGATGTTTTCCACTGCTGCAGTCCAGGCCTGGAGTCATCCATAAGCCTGTCTTGGTCCTATAAGGATGTGTAGGGCTGGGGGCTGGTTGATGAGAATAGTATAATGTGCATGCATGGGTGTGTTTGTTGTGTGTGCATAATGTCGGCTTGTGCATGCACCTGTGTGTGCACGTGTGTGCGCATGCACCTGTGTGTGCACGTGTGTGCGCATGCAGCTGTGAGGATGTTCGAAGATGGATGCAAACAGTGTGTGTGTGACTGTTCATTATATGTATGTGCACAGCGGTCTCTGCCACTGCTACGCTGATGCCCACTCTCCTACACGAGACAGGGTTCCCTGCACTGTGCTATGCTGTGCTGCCTCCCAGAGCTTGTCTCATTGCCCCAGTCAAATGTAACTAGACTGAACTGAGTTTAGGAAACCCTGCCGTATAGCACTAACCATTCTGCATGTGAGGTCCTGTCAATGTGATTCACTAATAGTGTGGCTCAGATATGGCCTATCCCACCAAAGCATATCTTGTGGCTTTTGATATTTATTTAAGGGATAATCAACTAGTGGCTGTGGAGTCCTGTGGAATAAGCTACGACACAGCCTAGTCGTGGTATAAACTACAATGTACTCCGTTATTGACATAGCAAAGGGTAATGATGGTGGTGGACAAATCATCCAACAATTCAGTGTTAATTATGGACCTTATTACTGTATTACGCCAAGAAGGATATTATTTAGGCTAGTTAGATTGATTCACACTGCCTTGTAACGTTGCCTGCGACCCGTTGTTTTGGAAAAAACAGCCCACTGATTTTTAGGGCCCCTGTCACTGAATTGTCCTACCCTGTAGCACTTTTTTTTGTGCTTGCTTGGCTGGATATTTATGATTTTATGGACTAAATGGACTTTGGCTCAGTGGCAGAATTATGTTTAATGCGTTTTAGAGGATGTCGACCCATTAAATGATAAATGCTGACTTTGAAGGGCCCTCCACAAGGATAACGCAATCTCTGCTTATGCATCTACCCACTGGGCACAGACGTCAATTCAACGTCTATTCCATGTTGGCTCAATGTAATTTCATTGAAATGACATGGAAACAATGTTGATTCAACCGTTGTGTGCCCAGTGGGTAGTTTCAGAATGTAAACACATAAACGTGTTTTGGTCCAAATGCATATGGCCAAATAGATAATCCATTCCTATTTTGATTTACCTTTCTTGGAGAAAAAATCTAATTTACAACATTGTAATAGTTGCCATGGAGAGGAGAGTTAATAGAGCCAATTGGGAGCTGAGAATCTTTAGGTGGCCATAGTAGTGTCCAATTGGAATTCTGGCCTAAGATTGAGTGTTCTGATTGAATGTTGATTGTTCATGAATTTCATCCCCAAAATTGCAGAATATGCCTTTAATTAACACAATTCTTTAAAAAGTGTAATGGAATCTTGAGTGACCACAGACAGTCAACACCTCATTTGGTTTACATGCTGAGATGGGCACTCTGTCAGTCTGTAATTTGGTTGGTTTGCCATGTAATGCCTTAAACAGACACATAGTTCCGCCATCAGATGTCACACTGTAATAGAAAACTAAGTTATATGGTATTTTTTAAAATTATTAACAGTAAAATATTCTGACACTTTTTACTGAAGCATACTGTAAATTATGATGCATTGTGGGAAAATGTTGTGGGCGGGGAAAGAATTGCTGTATTTCAAATGGTACTGTAATTCCACTCCACAGAACAGTACCGTACCCTATTGTTGGAGAGCCAAAAACCTTTTGACCACTAGTGGGGTGCATGGTATTTTTGTTTCTGGCTCATTAGCATATTTTTGTGGTTTGCTATATTTGTTACACCCATGAGTTAGAATGCTGTACCAATTCTAATTCCTATGTGGTTATAGTGCCTCATCAATTTAAAATGTATAAGGGACAGATTGTAGTGGCAAGTCTTAAACCTTTAATGGTTGAGCATTTTGTCATTTCCTTCTGGTCTGTTTTGTCCTGTAGTTGCTGTCTGTTTGTAAGGCCTCTAGAAGAGCATATATTTATTCATATGTTTGTAAACACCTTACCTAGCAGCCCAACCTGGTCTCAGAGCTTTTCATATTATTCTGTATGTAAATTCGAGACACTCAATTTAGTATGATATGTTACGTTTGGTATGGTTACATAAGACAGATGGTTACCAAAAAGGCAAAAATGAAAGGAGAGTGGTTGGTCGGGGTGGATGGATGGGCGTATAACGCGAACGTCTAGCATGATACAATTATAAAGTTGTCGGTGATGAGATACGAACTCTCAACCTTCGGGTTGCTAGACTTTCACTTTACACGTTCGCGCTATTTTCAAATCTCATCACGGACAACTTTATCATTTTTGCTAATTAGCAACTTTTCAACTACTTACTACTTTTTAGCTACTTTGCAACTACACTGAACTAAAATATGAACCCCACATGTAAAGTATTGGTCCCATGTTTCATGAGCTGAAATAAAAGATTCCAGAAATGTTCCATATGCACAAAAAGCTTATATCTCTCAAATGTTGAGCACAAATGTGTTTACATCCCTGTTAGTGAGCATTTCTCTTTTACCAAGATAATCCATCCACCTGACAGGTGTGGCATATCAAGAAGCTGATTAAACAGCATGATCATTACACAGGTGCACCTTTTGCTGGGGGCAATAAAAAGGCCACTCAAAAATGTGCAGTTTTGTCACACAATACAATGCTACAGATGTCTCAAGTTTTGAGGAAGCGTACAATTGGCATGCTGACTGCAGGAATGTCCACCAGAGCTATTGCCAGAGAATGTAATGTTAATTTCTCTACCAAAAGTCGCCTCTAACATTGTTTTAGAGAATTTGGCAGTACGTCCAACCGCAGACCACGCCAGCCCAGGACCTCCATATCCAGCTTCTTCACGTGCGGGATTGTCTGAGACCAGCCACCCGGACAGCTAATGAAACTGAGGAGTATTTCTGTCTGTAATAAAGCCCTTTTGTGGGGAAAAACTCATTCTGATTGGCTGGGCCTGGCACCCCAGTGGGTGGGCCAATTCCTCCCAGGCCCACCCATGGCTGCGCCCCTGCCCAGTTATTAGAAATCCATAGATTAGGGCCTAATTTATTTATTTCTATTGACTGATTTCCTTATATGAACTGGAACTCAGTCAAATTGTTGAAATTGTTGCATAATGTGTTTATATTTTTGTTCAGTATACTTAGCTAACCCTTCCCCTAACCTAATTTGTAACATATCATACGTTTTGCAAATTTATAACATATTGTACGTTTTGCAAATTCGTAACATATAATACGAATTGTAATACGTAACATATATCATACGAAATGGGTGATGAACATCCACAAATTAATACATAACATATCATACTAAATTGAGTGTCTTGGATTTACGTACAAAATGCTCTGAGACCAGTTTGCTGAGCAGCCAACCTGCTTGCACCAATCCCTTATAATTGGGGTAAAATACAAACCGCTCTCCTCAATGAATTTCATTAATTCATCCATTCCGATTATGGTAGAAATGACTTTTTTACAGTACAATACAGTCAATTGTATGATATTGCACTGTGTCATTACACAGTACTTGCTTCGATACAGTATTTATTTTACAGTAGGTGTACTGTAATATGAAATACAGAATCGTACTTGCCACCGAGCTGCCTGTAAGCTAGTGTCAAAATCACAGTAACCGCTTTACAGTGCACATAAAAGTTCACTACTACACTATGTGGCCCCTACTGCTGGCCATGCTTACTCTTTAGTAGCAAGGCAGCCCCTTTCATGCCACTTCTGTACTTACGTTATTACATGGGCGGGATTGTTGGACGTCAGCATGTATGTTTCATTCATAACCATAAGTTATTTAGCTTTGCCGTAATGCCAATAACTGTCCTGTTGTGGCTTGCTGCAAGATTTTACTCTCCACGGGGCCTGTATTGATAAATAGTCTCAGACTAGGAGTGCTGATCTAGGATCAGGTCCCCCCCTGACTCATCTTTTAATTAAACCATGAAAACAGCATGGAGAGGGTTTACCATTTTGAAGGAATCACATTATTTTACATAAATTACCAGATATTTACATAGAAATTGTATGGTAAAATGGTAATTACATAATAATAACATATGAATCACTTGTTCGTTTCATAAAAATTAATCTGGGCTGGTGCATTGTCTATTTGGATTTATTTGGTTCTCAGTATGTCAACATGACCCATCCAGTAGCCCTCACAACCATGCCACCATTACCACAATCACCACCACTATTATCAACTTACCTGGTAAAATAAGGAGTAAAAAAGACATGGCAGGGTGGAAAAGGACCACCACCACCAGCAGCAGCACCACCAGGACCACCAGCCGCACCACCAGCAGCAGCAGCAGGACCACCAGGAACCACGAGCAGCACGCACCACCAGACCACCAGCGCAACAGCAGTAGACCACCAGGACCACCAGCCGCACCACCACAGCAGGAGCACCACCAGGACCACCAGCCCACCACCACCAGCAGGAGCACAACACAGGACCACCATCACACACAACACAACAAGCAATCACACCAGTACCACCAGCCGCACACAACCACCATCAGAGCACACCACCACCAGCGCACCACCACCACAGCACCAACCACACCACACACCACCAGCAGCACACACCAGGACCACCAGCCGCACCACCACCCATGAGCACCACCAGGCCACCCAGCCTCACCACCACCACAGAGCACCACCAGACCACCACGCACACCACCACAGTGAGCACATCACCACCATCCCACCACCACCATCATCACCATCATTATTCACCCCATTACCACCCCATCTCACCACACCACCACCATACACACCACCACCACCATCACCATCATTATCACCACCATTACTACCACCACCATCATAATCACCACCATTACTATCACCACCATTGCCACCACCACCAAACCACTGGTGTGGAACAACTTCTATACAGTACAATATACCATGAGGGTTTATTTTTAATTGATAACACACAGAGTGGGGAGGATACACTGTATGTGACGTTTATGGATGTTTATGGACGACCCCCCCCCCCCCCCCCCCTCCCCAGCGATGCACAATGAGCTTTATAAAAGGCAAGACACAATGACACTTATAAAAGCTGTTTAGCAGCTTACGGCTAAAGTGTTTTCCTCAATGTCACAACCTTAAACCCCTGTCATGAAACCCTGTGCAAGGCAAAAGTTATGTAACACCTTGCCCATAAACTACAAAGGAGAAGTCACATAGTCATAATACTGTGGTAGCCTACTTGACAGCTCTTAAATAATAGTTACGTTTACATTTTAATTTGACATGGCATGCAGGTCGAACACCAATGTTGTTCCTTTTGTCATTATTATATATATCTCTCCCTCTCCCATTACATTTCCACAGTAAAAATGCTTCATATTCAGTGAATGGGTAGTGTGGGAACTGGGAACTAAACTTGTGATGTGTTGAACAAACCTTGTATTGAACTAACCTGCGTAAACCAACCTTATTCATCTCTTTCTCTGTCACTCTCTCTCTCTTTCTCAGGGATAGGCCTTGGGGTGGTGGTCAGGGAATATGCCTCTCTCTCCCACCTCGAAAAGCAGTATTTTGGATTCCCGGGAGATATCCTGATGCGGATGCTCAAGCTGGTCATCCTACCCCTCATCATCTCTAGCATGATAACCGGTAACTTGGGATGAATTGTATCTCAACAGCTCTATTTCTATTTTGTTTAATGAAGGGGGCCATCAGAGAAGAATGGGCACAGATAAGATATCTTATTCAAAGACAACTAAAATAGTCCTAGTCATTGAGAGGACTTGTTGACAGACATGCTTCCTTTGGGTGAACAGGTCAATTGTTTCTCGGTCTTGTTTGTGTTCACAGGAGTGGCCGCCCTGGATTCGGATGTTTCCGGAAAGATAGGTTTGAGGGCTGTGGTTTATTACTTGTCCACCACCATCATTGCAGTCATTCTGGGTGAGTTAAAAGCACCTGGTCTCACTCCCTTTCCGCTGTTCCCCCATTTGTTATGAAGTGTGACATTTGAATATTGAATGATGGTTAACATGTTTTTCAGGTATTGCATTGGTGATAACCATCAAACCTGGCGTCTCTCAGGAGGCAGAACACATCGACAGGACAGAGATCACAGAAAACGTCAACACAGTCGACACGCTACTGGATCTTGTCAGGTGACAGCTACACTTCCAGTGTTTCCCCTAGGATTATTGTCAGCAGCGGTGGCAAAGTTAGTGTGGGGGAGGGGAGGGGAGGGGTGGCTGAACCGAACCAATTTAGCAGCGGGGAAACACTGAATTTTACCGTCATAATAGATGAACATGATATTTAGTTTGATAGAATTTCTATAAAGGCCCATTCTACATCAGTCAGAGATGCAGTGTATAACATTTCCACATTTGTCTCACATTGTTGACATCTCAACATTTGTCCCATTCCCTCCACAGAAACATGTTTCCTGAAAACATAGTACAGGCTTGTTTCCAACAGGTAAGAGTCATTGTCTTATTTGTACATTCAAGCTTACGGTCACTAGCCTGGTCCCAGATCTGTTTGTGCTGTCTTGTCAACTCTTATGAGAATTGGCAAGACAGCTCAAACAAATCTGGGGGGAGGCTATACAATCACTGCTCTTTGAGGAGAAAACATGATCCTACATTCAAAAATAACCATGTCAAATGTTACTATTTCAATTCAACCATGTCATTCCAGTACAAGACAATGCGCAAAGAGCTGGAACCCTCTAAAGTGAAGGTGAACACTACAACTACAATGTTCCCTCCTCTCTCTACCACTGTCATGGCAACCATTTTCCCCCCAGAGGTAGGTGTTACTGTTTCCATATGTTTATCCGCCTGTGTGTCAAGAGCTGTGATTTGATAGGACCGAAGCTGGCAAGCCCGGTCTTCTTTTTCTACTTGATTAGAGTTCATCAGATGTTTATCTATCCAATCACAATCTTTTGTGGTATGAAAATGTGCCCCATTTCAGTCTTTCTTCAGATGAGCTTTGGTGTGTCTACACCTGGTCACCCACATCGAGTGTGATGGCTATGACCACAGATCAACTTGTACAGTCGTGGTCAAAAGTTTTGAGAATGACACAAGTATTGGTCTTCACAAAGTTTGCTGTTTCAGGGTTTTTAGATATTTTTGTCAGATGTTACTATGGTATACTGAAGTATAATTACAAGCATTCCATAAGTGTCAACGGCTTTTATTGACAATTACATTAAGTTTATGCAAAGAGTCAATATTTGCAGTGTTGACCCTTCTTTTTCAAGACCTCTGCAATCCGCCCTGGCATGCTGTCAATTAACTTCTGGGCCACATCCTGACTGATGGCAGCCCATTCTTGCATAATCAATGCTTGGAGTTTGTCAGAATTTGTGGGTTTTTGTTTGTCCACCCGCCTCTTGAGGATTGACCACAAGCTCTCAATGGGATTAAGGTCTGGGGAGTTTCCTGGCCATGGACCCAACATTTCGATGTTTTGTTCCCCGAGCCACTTAGTTATCATTTTTGCCTTATGGCAAGGTGCTCCATCATGCTGGAAAAGGCATTGTCCGTCACCAAACTGTTCTTGGATGGTTGGGAGAAGTTGCTCTCAGAGGATGTGTTGGTACCATTCTTTATTCTTGGCTGTGTTCTTAGGCAAAATTGTGAGTGAGCCCACTCCCTTGGCTGAGAAGCAACCCCACACATGAATGGTCTCAGGATGCTTTACTGTTGGCATGACATAGGACTGATGGTAGCGCTCACCTTGTCTTCTCCGGACAAGCTTTTTTCCGGATGCCCCAAACAATCGGAAAGGGGATTCATCAGAGAAAATGACTTTACCCCAGTCCTCAACAGTCCAATCCCTGTACCTTTTGCAGAATATCAGTCTGTCCCTGATGTTTTTCCTGGAGAGAAGTTGCTTCCTCTCTGCCCTTCTTGACAACAGGCCATCCTCCAAAAGTCTTCGCCTCACTGTGCGTGCAGATGCACTCACACCTGCCTGCTGCCATTCCTGAGCAAGTTCTGCACTGGTGGTGCCCCGATCCTGCAGCTGAATCAACTTTAGGAGACGGTCCTGGCACTTGCTGGACTTTCTTGGTCGCCCTGAAGCCTTCTTCACAACAATTGAACCTCTCTCCTTGAAGTTATTGATGATCCGATAAATGGTTGATTTAGGTGCAATCTTACTAGCAGAAATATCCTTGCCTGTGAAGCCCTTTTTGTGCAAAGCAATGATGATGGCACGTGTTTCCTTGCAGGTAACCATGGTTAACAGAGGAAGAACAATGCTATTCTAACTCAATCAGCATGACAGAGTGATCTCCAGCCTTGTCCTCGTCAACACTCTCACCTGTGTTAACGAGAGAATCACTGACATGATGTCAGCTGGTCCTTTTGTGGCAGGGCTGAAATGCAGTGGAAATGTTTTTTGGGGATTAAGTTCATTTTCATGGCAAAGAGGGACTTTGCAATGAATTGCAATTCATCTGTTCACTCTTCATAACATTCTGTAGTATATGCAAATTGACATCATAAAAACTGAGGCAGCAGACTTTGTGAAAATTAATATGTGTCATTCTCAAAACTTTTGACCACGACTGTAGAACATTATAATGCCACTGTGTGGACAGGGGTCAATATGTTGTGTTCTGAGGAAAAAGCACAAGAAAATGGCTGTCGGCCCACTGAAACACAGTACTTCACCATTGGATGTTTTGACCAAAATCGATTTCTATTTTTATACTTGCTTCCTTATTTCTCCTCTCTGTAGAACATCACCAAGGACTATTTGATAGTCTGGTCATATTCTGATGGGATCAACGTGCTGGGTCTCATCGTGTTCTGTGTGGCGTTCGGCCTCGTCATCGGCAAGATGGGTGAAAGGGGACGCATCCTGCTGGAGTTCTTTGATGCTTTAAACGAGGCCACCATGAGGCTAGTCCAGATCATCATGTGGTATGTAACTACAGGCCACCATGAGGCTAGTCCAGATTATCATGTGGTATGTAACTACAGGCCACCATGAGGCTAGTCCAGATTATCATGTGGTATGTAACCACAGGCCACCATGAGGCTAGTCCAGATTATCATGTGGTATGTAACTACAGGCCACCATGAGGCTAGTCCAGAATATCATGTGGTACGTATTGCTGAATTCACGTGCTAGTTGGAACTTGGACATTTTCAACTTGCTAACTGGTTGAACACGGCAAATGTATAACTACAACCAGCGTTTTCTAGGTCCGACTAGCACGTGAACGTGACATAAGTACAGTCTAGTCTACAGGCTATCTTTATGAATACTTTTTTTTCTTCTTCTTCTTCTTCTTCTTCTTCTTCTTCTTCTTCTTCTTCTTCTTAAAATTCACCCTGCATCTCACTTAGTTACACTAGAAATGTTTAGAATATTGTAGTTCACATTAGCTATTTTCTATGCTATTATATGAATATACTGTAGTTTTAATGCTATTCCAGTGGTGGAGGTGATGGTGGAAATGTTGATAGCATTAACATAACCATTGTTATTATTACAGCTACATGCCAGTGGGGATACTCTTCCTCATCGCTGCCAAGATCATTGAGGTAGAAGACTGGGAGATCTTCAGGAAGTTGGGCCTGTACATGGTGACAGTGTTGAGTGGGTGAGCCTGAACCAGCATTCTCTCTCTCTCTCTCTCTCTCTCTCTCTCTCTCTCTCTCTCTCTCTCTCTCTCTCTCTCTCTCTCTCTCGCTCTCTCTCTCTCTCTCTCTCTCTCTCCACAACAATGGTAGATTTATAGCTGGCATTAGGGTCCAGTTTTTCTGCAAAGGTACTGTAAAAGCTATCTCTGTCCCGGCACAGATAAGAACCAAGGACATTTAAAACTGCTCAACCTGCAGATGCGGTAATGAGGCCTTTAGCGAACGCCTGTCCAACCGTAAATTTCCCGGACAGAATTATGCTTCTGGGTGACCAGGAAAATTATTCTTCAGAGTCTAGTGAAGGGGAACGCAGTCCTGTGAGTCCTAAATGGCACCCCGTACCCTATATAGTGCACTACTTTTGACCAGAAGCCTATGGGCTATAAAGGGAGTAGGGTGCCATTTGGGATTCAGCCTTGGTTATTCTGTTATTATAAACTGGAGGAGAAGAGTTTTAGTCCCCAGTTAACCCCAGGGGTTAGTCAGCTATTTCTTACAATGAGTCAAAATCAAACACTTCTTTGTAATGTTTTACTTTTCTCCTCAGCCTAGCTATCCACTCTACCATTTTTCTGCCGCTGATCTACTTTGTCATCGTGAGGAAGAACCCGTATACCTTTGCCTTGGGGATGGCCCAGGCACTGGTCACTGCTCTTATGATCTCTTCCAGGTAAGCCTCAGTCACTATTGGGGATCATACAATATGTTGTATATATCAAAGTATAGCAGTAATGGCTGACATATCTATTTATTAATCCATTAATATAATACATCTATCTATCCAATCCATCCATCTGTCTGTTCTTCCATCCATCCGTCCAATTATCCACCTACCCATCCAATCATCCATCCATCCTTCTTTAACCTAAATGCTACCTCCCTCTAGCTCTGCCACCCTGCCTGTCACCTTCCGCTGTGCCGAAGAGAACCTCCGGATCGACAAGAGGATCACCCGCTTCGTGTTGCCCGTGGGCGCCACCATCAACATGGACGGTACGGCTCTCTACGAGGCGGTCGCTGCCATCTTCATTGCCCAGCTCAACGACTACGATCTTGATGTGGGTCAGATTGTCACCATCAGGCAAGTCACCAACACCCTGGGTTGTCAGGAGATTGTGTATTCTATGTACTCATTTTGGGCAGGTGAAAGTGTCATAGCATATTTATAATCAGATGGAAAGTATTTGGTGGTCTCAGACTTCAGCTGCTCAGAATGAGTATGCCACTGAGTGATGTAAGGAAAAACGTATTTGTGTGTGACAAAACTGACTTCACACTGGAAACTCAACCATAATCAAGCATCAAGTTAATGACCTAATAATATGTCAAGGTAAGGGAATTGCAAAGATGGTAATTGACTGTTTCCTCTGATTTCAGTATAACAGCAACTGTAGCCAGCATCGGAGCCGCCGGTGTACCTAACGCTGGCTTTGTTACCATGGTGATTGTTCTGACTGCCGTTGGACTACCGGCAAATGATGTCACTTTAATTATTGCTGTGGATTGGCTGCTGTGAGTAATACCTTGAGTGAAATATTGTCAAGAGAAAATATTGTTTTAGTGATGAATACAATGGTGTGACGTTTTAAAGGTAGACTCAGCAATATAACATCACCATACGCAGTGGAGACAACAACAAAAACATACAGTAAATCTGCCAAGACTGTCACTACATTCTCTTCTCAATTTGTGCCATCCCTTAAACAATGCCCAGGAGGGGCAGTCTTGGCAGATTACATTTGGTTCTTGTTTGATGACTGTACGCAGGAAGTTGACCCGCAGTGTATCATATTGCAAAGTCTTCAGTATCTTTAACTAACTGATTATCACAACGGACAATGTTCACTCACCATTTCAGAGACCGCTTCCGCACCATGATCAACGTGCTGGGGGATGCCTATGGAGCTGGCATCGTCCAGAAGCTGTCCATGCAGGAGCTGGAGAGGATGGACGTCACCTCGGACGTGACCAACCCCTTTGCCCCGGAGACCAGGCTGGATGACGAGGAGTGTGAGAAGAAGTCCTACGTCAACGGTGGCTTCACCATCGACAAAACCGACGCCATCTCCTTCACCGAGATCTCCCAGTTTTAGGAGGAAAGGGAGGGGGGGGGGGGGGGGAGAAAATAAGTGCCATTGCTGCTAGATGTTTAGCCTGGTGGTTCCGTCCTGTTTGTAGCTTGGTTCTAGATCTGTTTGTGCTGTCTTGCCAACACCAATGTTCATTGTCACGTCTAGCACAAACAGATCTGCGACCAACATTTCCTGTTGCTGCAGGATTATTGCTGCAGGATTCTTTTCCTGCTGTAGCACACTGGCTCAAATTAAGATCCTACATCTGTAGCAATATCAGCCACCACCATCTGTTCACTCTTGATGCTCTTTCCAGCACTGTCCCCGATTATCAGCGGAAATCCTCAGCAGCCCTTAAAATGAGCTCTGCTGTATTTGAAATGGCACCCTATTCCCTAACTAGGCCCTGGTCTAAAGTAGTGCACTATGTAGGGAATAGGGTGCATGCCCTAACTAGGCCCTGGTCTAAAGTAGTGCACTATGTAGGGAATAGGGTGCATTCCCTAACTAGGCCCTGGTCTAAAGTAGTGCACTATGTAGGGAATAGGGTGCATTCCCTAACTAGGCCCTGGTCTAAAGTAGTGCACTATGTAGGGAATAGGGTGCATTCCCTAACTAGGCCCTGGTCTAAAGTAGTGCACTATGTAGCGAATAGGGTGCCCCTTCGGACGGACCCATTCTCTCTTTAACCAAAAGAGCTTCCATCGTTATGTTGACATAGTGCCAACAATGAACACAGTCACTTTTGAATGAATCGATACTTTTGTTAATGTTTTTACATAGAGGGAACAAGGGGGACGACAAGAGCCAGAGCTTTTGAAATTCATAGCTACAGTGTGTGTGTAACTGAAATAATATATCGCCGGGCTGAGCTGTGTATATGTATTGCAAAAAAGAGCATGGAAGAAGAAATACAACTATATTCCTGACGTTCAATACACTGTATATTGCAAAGATTCAAACAGACCTTTATAAACTACAGTGTTCCACTTTGTTTGTCCTTCAGAAGATGTTTACTCTTTTCAAATGTGTTCATTTTTATCTAAATTCTTTATTTTTGTGACAAAGTTTTTATTTAGTTTTTTCCCAAAAAAATCTGGGGGGGGGGTACAAAATACATTCAAAGAAATGCATACAAAGATAACCCCAACCCATAAAATTCTTGACAGTTTTGTGTGTCCCCTGTTGGTGAAAGTGAATGTTCTTAAGCTTTACAATATGTGCCAAACATCTTAACTTTATATCATTCATCCATGTTTATATTTTAATTGCATGAAGCAATATTACAAAGAAATACAGTGGAAAACTTGTAATGAACATAGACTTGCTGTATATATTTTTCAAGTGACCAATGGACTTCAGTAAGAAAGTAGAGTTGATGGGCACAACAATGAGGTTTTTGAGTTTTGAATACTGTGAAATATTTGGAAATATTTTCATAATGAATTGCTAAAGAGGATGGCTGACTTAAGGATTTAATAAGGATTATCTTGACAATAAAGGCTTTCTGATAGCGAACGCTAACTATAAAAGCTTAATGTTTGTTTGTCAGAGAAACAAATAACTGTGGGGCCTCTGAGGCAATGTTTTGGAAGATCCAGCAGTAGAATCCAGGAATTCAATTGAATGCAGTTAGTACAATTCCAACCTCAACCATGAAACCTTAGTTAGATACAAAGCCTTCCAAACAGCTCATAAAAGGTATTCTGTAATAACTTTGTGTGGTCCAACAAATGAATGATTTTGTGTAGCCTTACTTTAGAGATATCCTTCCTGAGCCTTAACGTAATTTTAAAAAACTATAATAACCTCCATCTCAATTTATTAAATTTTTTCATCCTTGAGGCATGGGATTATTGAAACTGCCACAAGTTGGTGAGATATTAAGTATAGGAAAGCAAGTCAAGGGCGATGTAACTAACATTTAATTGATCCGATGTGGCTCAAAATAAAGCTTGTGAATCAGGTTCTTCTGTACATTTCAAAAGCACATTATGATGAGATCAACAACAATCAATGGCTAAAGTGTGTACAGTCCACAAATCACTTCAGTATATGAATCAACATGTACTAGATGTATCTCACTGCAAGCTAGTAAAGAAAAATATAACTTGGGCGTTTCTCTTTTAAAGAATGGAGAATTACAGAGTTGTGGACATTACGGCTTTCATTTACTTGTTTCTTCCTGTCCAGCACCTGACCTTGGATGTGCATACTTTAGTTACTGTACAACCTTGTTTTTATCTACAAGAACGCCTTAGCACACCATTTGAAATACTGCAGTCACTGTATTATTATACCACAGGTTGTGGTTTCAGATCCTCTAGTCTAGTTATATAACTATCATAGCTTAGAAAGGTACAGTGATGGAACAGAATGTTCCTGAAGCAGCCAGTCAATTTAGTAATATATAATCAGCTGGACGGCTATTTCCCCTGAGACATGCTATCGCCCTACCCATAATTCCTATTGTCTTTCCACTGATGCACCTGAGGACTCCACAAAGTCAGCCCGTCTGCTGGCTAGAAGCCAGGGGCTCATTCAGGAAGGTGCGAAATGACTTAATGTTCAGATAGAAATACATTGTGTTGAGCAGATATTCTTCTTTGTCATGGAGAATAGGCAATCCAGTCTGCTCTAAATGTTACAGTTCTATCCGCAACGTTGTGAAGGTTTCACTCTTTTGAACACACCCGAGAGTAACAATATGATGTTAATGTACCATAGCTTATAGATTCAAATACTGTACATGATGAGGCTGAGAAATTCATGTTTTTTTTATTAGATAACACACAACTTTTTATTCACACAAAATGACCATGTCCACAGAACACAACTATAATGATATGCATTTCTATGGTTTCTGCGTCAAGTCAATACCATAAATAAATGCCTAAAAACATTAGAGTTAATATAATGAGATGCTTTTCAATTCTGGTAATCACTTCTCTTCAATAGCCCAGTGTATCCCTTAACACTTCATTTCATCGAATCGTAACACACACAGAGTGAATTATGACATTATTATCGTATGAAATCAATGCCGAAATGAACTGGACACTTTGGCTTCTTCACCGGTTGTATAGAAGATAAAGCTGTTGTTGATTGAACGCCACCCCTGGAAATAACGCAGGAAAATCCAATCAAAATCCCTGGAACGCCAACTTTGATTGAGCTATTTATTGCACTGATTGAAATATTTCTAGACGGTCCTTCTACTGTCATTCAATACAGAGATGTAAAGGTATTCAAATATTGATCAATACATTTACATTTTAGTCATTTAGCAGACGCTCTTATCCAGAGCGACTTACAGCTAGTGAGTGCATACATTTTTCATACTGGCTCCCCGTGGGAATCGAACCCGCAACCCTGTCGTTGCAAACGCCATGCTCTACCAACTGAGCTACAGGGGGCCCGATGCAGATCAATGGCAATTATTAATTGGACTTGCTGATTTAAGGGCAGGTAGAGATCATACTGTGTTATCATAATTGTGATACAATACTGTCATGGTAATTCATGGAAAGAAGAAGAGACTTAGGCTTTTTTGAATACAGTGTGACACGCCAGTGCAGCGAGGCTATCTGACTATTCCCTCTTACCTTCCCAGGCTGTTCCCCACTGACTCCCTAGGGTGGGCATGGGTTAGGGGAGATGGACCTCCGGGCTAGCACCTCGTCTATCTCGGAGTCTGTGGCCCCCTGAGAACCGACCAATACATTAGCACTGATTTCTCACAAATACACACCACATTACTAGCCTAATCTCACATATAAAAACACAAATAATATATCTGTTTATGTTACAGTACCTTGTCATTAACAATAAGGGACGAGCGGTTGGCAAGACTGTACAAAAACAGACCTGGGCTACTACATCACACTATAGCCAAAGAGAATGGAGAAAGGAGAGCGATAGAGGGCAAGCAAAGAGGAAAGGGGAGAGAAAAGGAGAGGGTGAGGAGGGAGAGAGCGAGAGAGCGGTGGAGTCTGCATATGACTAAATTGATTTCGGTCATTCTGCTGGAGTTCCAGTTCCCATTTCTATCTGGTGTATTCTCCTACCCATTCATAGCTCTGCGGCAGCCAGACGCTTTACAAAACTTTTAGGGAATTACTAACACTTGAAATTATTCTTGAAATGAGGGTGATGCGAGCCGAGGATGAGGCAAGTTATAACATTGTCAAAACATTAGCTTCCAAACAAAGTGTAGGGATCAGGCTTGACTGCAGAGCTGGGTTCAAATACTAGGCTATACTTTTAGTGTTCGTTCTAGCCTGCCTGGAGTACCAGCTGGGCTGGGTTTGCCATTTTACAACTATTCTATTGCTGCCATTGTGCCAGGCAAGCTCAATTAAGCTGTAGTAACTGGTCAATTTAAGTTACTGTTCAATCTTGTCAAGGTTAAATTGGGCTCAATTGCTGGTGTGATTGCTGTTTCCAATGCACCCACTGCAGATGAATGTGACATGTGTTTTACTCACATGGGTGAGTCTGTGCACTGCTCTAGGGGTGGTAAGGAGTCCTCGGACGCGGTGTTGGACCTCCTCCCACATGCCCTGGGAGCTGGGGTGTGACCTGGTCATAGAAATAGACAAGAGGATCAGGATAAGGTCAGGCCTGGCCTCAACTGGTGCCATCTGTAAAATACTTTCCCTGGACCAAGTGAGATGGAGGACATTTGTCAAAGGCATTACGCTCCTTGTAGGAGCCAAGAGCTTACATCACAATATGTCAAGTAAGCTCGACATACCCATTTTGTCTTGAGCTTTCCCTGTAGGAGCGCCAAAGCATGGAAGGTCTGGGTGTAGGGGATCCCCCTATGTTAGCCAGGGAACATCGTTGGCTTGGACCTGGGGGGTAGTCCAGGAGATTGTCTGTGTCAGAGGATGGGGACCGCGGGAGACGAGGAGAGGAGCCGTTGTTCAGGGTGGGTCTGGCCATGACAGGGGAGAGGTGGGGTGTGGGGGAGTTGCCAGTCCCAAGCCAGGGGTCGCTTTTCTAAGGACAGGAGGAGAAGAATAGAGCAAAGCAGGGGTAAAAAACAATAACAACTGTTTGATTCAGTTGGGAGTCCAAAGTCTGAAATGATCCTATCATTTTCCAAACGGAATGAATGGTTGGTTTTATTTGGCGCTAGTGTCCAAAGGTGGATGGATTGATGAGTTGAGTTCAATGTCCTATTTCCTTTTTCAACAAAGCTGCACCACTGAATGTGAATGTAATCATCTCAATAAAAGAGTGTTATGTCCAGTACAGGAAATCATTGCTACATGACTGGGTGGGTCGAGGATAAAACCACACCTGGGAATATTCCACACTACAAATAACAGTGAGCTATTCTCTGCCACCTGCTGTCTGTAATACCATACATTAATGCACACACACACAAACACGCACACACACACCCACGCACACAAACATACACGCATGGGCACGCACACACACACACACACACACACACAAGCAAACACAAAAAAGAATATAACATGAACACACATCAATATCTATGTATGAATTTGTTGCTGACTCACTGGCATGATATAGCAGATGTCATACTGTCATTTGTCATCATGACAGCTCACACCAGCACCAGTAAAATATACTTACATGATGGGGTAAAAACTCCTCATCTATATCCCAACTGGAACCCAAACTGAGCTGTGCCAGCCGCCCCATGTTTCCATGACAACTGTCCATCTGGCTGGCTTTGTACGGGGAGAGGGAGCGTGATCTGGGCATCACTGGTGCCCGCCGGGCACCGTCCCAATCTCCTCCCCGATGCCCCTTTCGGGACCTTTTAGTGCGTTTCTTTGGCACCACTGTCCTCTGTGAACAAATGAGCAAAGTATTATTCGATATGCTCAGTGTTTCTCAATCTTGGCACTTGGTCCAATGGGAATAAGTGGTTGAAATAAAGTCCTGCAAAATGGCCTACAATGGGTTAGCCTGGTCCCATATCAGCATTGTGACTGTAGGAGTTGTCACGAAAGCACAAAAAGATCAGGGACCAGGCTAACAGTGGGTTCCCTGGAATAGAGAAACCTTGAACCGTAACATTAAGTGGAAGTCTATGGAGAGTGCTAATGATGTAAAGTGAAAACATTACCATCGGAGAGCTGAGATGGGTGCTGTTGACCCTGGCATTCGCAGAGCACTCACTGATGGTTGTTCTGGTGGAGAACTCTAACCTTGGAGCAATGCCCTGGGGATTATGAGAGAAATTGGATGATTTGAATGGATACTGGCCCAATCCACTAGTTAGAAGAGCAGCTTAATGCATCAAGGTAAATTGTATCCTCTCTGTGCAGGTATGCTGCCTCTGTACTGTCCTAATCGGACCTATCAATCAGTGTCCAGTGAAACATCCCTGTCTCACACATCTCACTGTAGCAGGACTATAGCCTAGATCTCCATAGTGATGGTGTAAGCTCTCTCCTACTTACAGGGAAGCAAATGGAGCGTGTCATGAGAACCTCTCTGTCCACTCCAGAGAAGGAAGGAACCAGTTTGGGCTCTGGGAATAGGAAGCGTCTGGAGTCCTCCTCAAAGCAGGCCAGGGCCTCCCCCACTGCAGCAAAGCACACAGAGGTCAATCATTGCAGTCCTGTGTGGCTCAGTTAGTTAGTAAGAACAAAGGTCATGGGTTAATTTATTGCTGGGGTCAAATACACTAAAATGTATTCGCTCACTGTACTGCAAGTTGCTTTGGATAAAAGCAGCTGCTACATGGCATATTATGATATGATCAACTTGCTTATGGTGTATTAGGCCAGTGGTTCCCAACTCCAGTCCTCAAGTACCCCGAACCGCACCAATTTTTGTTGTAGCCCCAGACAGAAAAACACCCGATTCAACTCATTGAAGGCCTGCTGATTAGTTGACAAGTTGAATCAACTTGTTGCGGGTACTCGAGGACTGGGGTGGGGAACCACTGTATTAGACAACAATGTGTCTGTATCATGTTAAAGTTAAACACTTAGCTTACAAACTTGGACCAAAGTCATTTCTAAACATTTTGAAGATTACTGCACCTGGGGGGATCAACTGTACCAATTCAACTTTGACCGTTTCGCCTGGGAGGAAAAATAAGCAAACACACAGTAGGTGAACATGAGCATACAATATCTAACATTGTAGTAGCAAAATTAATCAAATAGACCTACAACAGAGGAGGCTGGTGGGAGGAGCTATAGGAGGACAGGCTCATTGTAATGGCTGGAATGGAATTAATGGAACGGAGTGAAACGTTTGGTTTCCATATGTTTGATACTATTCCATTCCAGCCATTACAATGAGCCCGTCCTCCTATAGCTCTCCCACACCAGCCTCCACTGGCCTACAGGTATATAAAATAGAACTTACATTCCAGCATCTCTGCAACATCTCCTGGGTCAACAGCATAGTGGAACACCTGAATGGGAACAGAAACTGAACAAATCTTATTTAGAAAATCTTGTTCATTCCCATTTTAGAATTGATCTGTTACTAGTTTATAGAACCGCTGCATGGTGCCAACCTCCTGGCATCCAAGAGCGCTACAGGGCATACAGGCTTTTGTTCTAGCCCTGCTCAAACCCACCTGAGTCAACAAACAAGCCCCTGATGAAAAGCTGGTTAGTATATACTGTGCAAGAGCTGGGCTAGAACAAAAGACTGCACTCCTGATAGCTCGTCAGGAGAGGGGGAAGGCCACCCTTGGTTTAGAATAATCAGGAAGAGACGTGTCACATTAACCCACTTTCTCAAATCTCATCTTCTCTCGAAACAGGAGAGGGAAGACAGGGGGGAGACACTCCGACTTGCAGTATTGGCTCATGAAGCACACACTGAGGTAGATGTCATCCTTGGCTGGCAAATGCACACCAGGGCATGATACCTGAAATGTAATGAATAACTGGTTATGGTGTCATGATGAACGACACCGGCTTTGCAAACATTTAGGATACATGTTCACCATTTCTAATGTAGCAATTGTAAAGGAAGATCCAAATTGGGGCTTGAACCAACAATTCTCCAATGATGATGACCACCATCTGTGCCATAAAAGCCCTGGCCTCATAGCAGAGGCAGTAGTACCAGTCCACTCAAGGCTACACAAAATTATATAGTCTGGCAAAATCAAACACTGTGGGTGAATCCCACAAGTATATCACCGAATGTCATTACTGTTATGTATATCTTGCATGAAAGCTTACAATCTAACGTTAGCTAGATATGCAGGTGTTGGAACAGAGACAGTTGAGTTTAGTCTCAAGATAGCCAATTTATATGCACCACTGTACACGACGCTCCACAAGTAAACTACTGCCTGGGAAGCAGGTAGCTTACTGGTTGAATTAACAAAAATGTCTTACCGCCCTAAGCTGTAATTCAACTACCACTTTCATTGCGTTCCGATACATTAATTTAACCAGTAGCTAGCTATTCGTTTGACGCTAGCTAGCTGCTAATTTAGCAGCACTAGTCAGCGTCATGTGTTTCCATGGCGTCTGAAACTTCCGGTTTTAAGCAGATTATTTTAGGTGTATTATCTTTCCTTGGCCACAAGAGGGAAGTAGGCCCTACTGTATCCTACCAGAGCAGTGATTCTCCAGTAGAATTAGAAAATGTAACCGAAGCTTGCTCGAGTGCATGGCTGAATTACCAGCTAATTTCATTTCTATTACTGTGTAACAGTAATATAAATTTTGACATACGGAGACAATTGTATTCTAGTAATACCAGTCTGCTGTGTAAGTAATGTTTTAAAAACATTTTAATGAAACGCAATTCAAGGCTTGCTCCAGAGCACCAATAACAGGTCAAAAGGTATAACATAGAACTGCAGATGTGTACGACTTGTTCATTTTATAGAAGCACTCAAAGTAAAATATCTTCTATTAAATAAAGCTGAAATCAACAAAACACTGACTAAACACGTTCTATAATTCTGTAATCAAAAAATACAAAACTCACTAAAATCAACCATTTTGCAACCAATAACAATTCGTTTTAGGACACAGCTATGCTGCACTCTGCGCTTTAGGGGCCTCTTCCAACTGCAGTATGTCTTGTCCTCTCTCCTGTTGGTCCTGTTTGTTGCCCGTTGTGTTCTGTGTGACTGTCTCTGCTGTGTCTGAGTCTCTGTCAGAATCCTCCTCCTACTCCTCCTCTTCCTCCTTGTTTTCGGTAGCTGTGCCCTCCTGGCCCAGGACAGTGAAGAAGGCCTCCTGCCAGTCCCCCTTCTCCAGGTACACCAGCATGATCTCAAACACTGTGCCAGGGAACACACACACACTTATAAATTCAATTAATTGATTAACATAAAAAAAATCATTCTCAAATTAATTCTATCAAATACACTACCGGTCAAAAGTTTTAGAACAACTACTCATTCAAGGGTTTTTCTTTATTTTTACTATTTTCTACATTGTAGAATAATAGTGAAGACATCAAAACTATTAAATAACACACATGGAATCATGTAGTAACCAAAAAAGTGTTAAATTTTTTTATATATATATATTTTATATTTGAGATTCTTTACGTAGCCACCCTTTGCCTTGATGACAGCTTTGCACGCTCTTGGCATTCTCAACTGGAATGCTTTTCCAACAGTCTTGAAGGAGTTCCCATCTATGCTGAGCACTTGTTGGCTGCTTTTCCTTCACTCTGCGGTCCGACTCATCCCAAACCATCTCAATTTGGATGAGGTTGGGGGATTGTGGAGGCCAGGTCATCTGATGCAGCACTCCATCACTCTCCTTGGTAAAATAGCCCTTACACAGCCTGGAGGTGTGTTGGGTCATTGTCCTGTTGAAAAACAAATGATAGTCCCACTAAGCACAAACCAGATGGGATGGCGTATCGCTGCAGAATGCTGTGGTAGCCATGCTGGTTAAATGTGCCTTGAATTCTAAATAAATCACAGACAGTGTCACCAGCAAAGCACCCCCACACCATAACACCTCCTCCTCCATGCTTTACGGTGGGAAATACACATGCGGAGATCATCCGTTCAACCACACACGTCTCACAAAGACATGGTGGTTGGAACCAAAAATCTCCAATTTGGACTCCAGACCAAAGGACACATTTACACTTGTCTAATGGCCTTTGCTCGTGTTTCTTGGCCCAAGTATGTCTCTTCTTATTATTGATGTCCTTTAGTAGTGGTTTCTTTGCAGCAATGAAGGCCTGATTCACGCAGTTTCCTCTGAACAGTTGATGTTGAGATGTGTCTGTTACTTGAACTCTGTGAAGCATTTATTTGGGCTGCAATTTCTGAGGCTGGTAACTCTAATGAACTTATCCTCTGCAGCAGCGGTAACTCTGGGTCTTCCGTTCCTGTGGCGGTCCTCATGCGAGCCAGATTCATCATAGCGCTTGATTATTTTTGCGACTGCACTTGACAAAACTTTCATAGTTCTTGAAATGTTCCTTATTGACTGACCTTCATGTCTTAAAGTAATGATGGACTGTCATTTCTCTTTGCTTATTTGAGCTGTTCTTGCCATAATATGGACAGTCTTTTACCAAATAGGGCTATCTTCTGTATACCCCCCTACCTTGTCACAACACAACTAATTGGCTCAAACACATTAAGATGGAAAACATTTCCACAAATTAACTTTGAAGAAGGCACACCTATTAATTGAAAATGCATTCCAGGTGATTACCTCATGAAGCTTGTTGAGAGAATGCCAAGAGTGTGCAAAGCTGTCAAAAATATTTTGATTTGAGCTGCCCCGGTCAACTGTAAGTGCTGTTATTGTGAAAATACAGCTTACTTTCTATTCTCACTTTTAACTCCATTGTCTGTCATGCAATCAAAACAATGACTGTAATTCTACAGTAATGATAATACTGATTGGGGGGGTGTGACAGCTTATTCTGCCTCCCACTCTGTTACAGTGACATTGTCAGGGTCAGCTATTACAGTGGTATGTTTGGTGTGATGTCATGCAGGGCTATATGTGACCATGAGCCATGCTGAGATGAGTGACAGGTCAATGTCCTCTCTGACGTCACGATAACTGATGCCTTAAGGAGAAGGCTCGTAGTCGAGGAGAAGGAACTTAGTAACTAGGTTGTTCTTAGGAATCACCTAGCATTTTTTTCTGGACATTGATGTAATTGTCCCCCAAAACCTAGTCTGTTTGTGCTATCATTTTTGGCAGGATAATGACTGAAATGGAGTTGGCAAGAGCACAAACAGATCTGGGACCAGGTTACCCAAAACCACCCTTATTGTCTTTAGTTACATTTGCAAAACCCCTCAGTTTACAAACACAAATATTAGGGCCTACTTGTAGTCGGTAACAGAGCTGGGAAAGGGTTGCTTTAACTGGGACGTATGTAGTCGGTAACAGAGCTGGGAAAGGGTTGCTTTAACTGGGACGTATGTAGTCGGTAACAGAGCTGGAAAAGGGTTGCTTTAACTGGGACGTATGTAGTCGGTAACAGAGCTGGGAAAGGGTTGCTTTAACTGGGACGTATGTAGTCGGTAACAGAGCTGGGAAAGGGTTGCTTTAACTGGGACGTATGTAGTCGGTAACAGAGCTGGGAAAGGGTTGCTTTAACTGGGACGTATGTAGTCGGTAACAGAGCTGGGAAAGGGTTGCTTTAACTGGGACGTATGTAGTCGGTAACAGAGCTGGGAAAGGGTTGCTTTAACTGGGACGTATGTAGTCGGTAACAGAGCTGGGAAAGGGTTGCTTTAACTGGGACGTATGTAGTCGGTAACAGAGCTGGGAAAGGGTTGCTTTAACTGGGACGTATGTAGTCGGTAACAGAGCTGGGAAAGGGTTGCTTTAACTGGGACGTATGTAGTCGGTAACAGAGCTGGGAAAGGGTTGCTTTAACTGGGACGTATGTAGTCGGGACGTATGTAGTCGGTAACAGAGCTGGGAAAGGGTTGCTTTAACTGGGACGTATGTAGTCGGTAACAGTAGGTATGTCTGCGTCGGGAGAGGTCGTGTTTTTCTCTAGCTGGAGGTAAGCAGGAGGTAAGCTTCTCATATGGTGTTGAGTAAAGCTTAACCATGTATTAGATCGTAGGTAGGTAGTTAGCTGTAGTTAGGTATTGTATTTATTATAGGTTAGTATTGTTGTTATTGTAGGTTTCCGTAGGTAATTGTAGGTTAGTATCGAAGCACGAGGCTAGCTAGCTAGCGGGTAGCTACTGGTAACGATTAGCAACGCTGGAGAGCTGTTTCCAATGTTAATGTAGTCCTAGCCAACGTTTAATTTTTTTGCTTAACCATGTATTAGATCGTAGGTAGGTAGTTAGCTGTAGTTAGGTATTGTATTTATTATAGGTTAGTATTGTTGTTATTGTAGGTTTCCGTAGGTAATTGTAGGTTAGTATCGAAGCACGAGGCTAGCTAGCTAGCGGGTAGCTACTGGTAACGATTAGCAACGCTGGAGAGCTGGTTCCAATGTTAATGTAGTCCTAGCCAACGTTTAATTTTTTGCTTAACCATGTATTAGATCGTAGGTAGGTAGTTAGCTGTAGTTAGGTATTGTATTTATTATAGGTTAGTATTGTTGTTATTGTAGGTTTCCGTAGGTAATTGTAGGTTAGTATCGAAGCACGAGGCTAGCTAGCTAGCGGGTAGCTACTGGTAACGATTAGCAACGCTGGAGAGCTGTTTCCAATGTTAATGTAGTCCTAGCCAACGTTTAATTTTTTGCTGCGTTATGCGTTATGAAAGGAACTAGACACGGACTTGAATTATCTGTTTAGTGTGCTAACACACTCTTGGCAGTTTGTTGTAACCAAGTATTGATGCTAAATTGTGTGTTAATGGATGCTAGCTTGCAAGTTAGCTACGGCGTCATAGCTAGGCTTCGTGGGTTGTTGTGGGTAGTTACTGTGTCTTGGCAGTGTCCTCGGCCGTGCCGGCTGTAGCACGAAGCTAGCTAGCTAGCCGTTCTTCAAACAAAGTCAACACAGTGGCCATTGCTAGCTCCCCAACACGACCAGCTAGCTGTACTGTAGTAGCTAACTACAATATACTTGTCCTAGCTAGCCAACGTCTAATCATTGCTGCGTCATGAAAGGAACTTGACACAGACACGAATGATCTGTTTAGTGTGTTATCACATTATTGGTGGTTTGTTGTGACCAAGTGTTGGTGCTAAACGGTGTGTTATTGTTATTGGATGCTAGCTTGCTAGTTGGCTATGGTGTCATAGTTGGCTAGCTGAATAAAGTGGGTTGAGTCTATTCCTTTAAACATTGAACCGCTGTGGTTCACAACAATTCTGATTTCTAAAGGCGGAAGTTGGGAGAGTTTTTGTTCGGGTGGTTCAGTGAAACAATTTTAGTTTCTGTGGTAGAAGTTTTTGGTGAGGGAGGCCCTGCTCTCTCCGCTCCCAGATGCTTAGCCCATTTCATTCCGAT